TTGGATTCCCTTGTTCTATTCTTAGACTGATCCCAGGTTCTACTCTACCCACTTTTTTTTCCCACCCAATCTTCACCTACCTCTCAGCGCTGATGTATTCTGCAGGAAGAGAGCTACATCGGACACCTGCCACCCGTACGCCGACCTCATAGAAATGAAGCCCCAGGTTCTCACCCCAAACTGTCACCCGAGTCCCACCTTCCTTGGGGCCAGTCAGTGGCAATACCTGCAGAGAAAAGGAGATGAAACAGGGAGAGAAGGAAAAGATATTTGCTGGGGGGAAGTAAGGAGTTCCCAAAGAAAAGGCACGCTTTACTCCTCAGAAACATGGGCAGTTGAATCTCTAGCTATGCTTGCTAGGTATACTTTTCTATAGTTTTCACTTTATTGATTGAAATTTTTTGCAACATTTCTGCTGGTAGGCGACACAGGTATGAGAAGATTCTGACGCTCATAAAAGTCATACTGAAAGCATCCCTAAACAAGTCATCCAAATTAGAAAGCAGCTGATACAATCTAACTTCATGTTCATCATGTACATTATCAGGGTGGAACTGGGCTTATATTATCCTCCCAAACACTAAAAGACTATACCCAACATGCATAGTATTTAATATGTATACCACAAAATGGGAGTGGATGCTACCTTTAAGGGAACTAGTGCAAATGTGACAATCAGTATACAGAAGTGATGGCAAAGTTGGATGGACTCTCACCTTTCCATAATAATATAGGTTCTCCCCATTCCATTACATTTGATATCTACACAACGTTTCAAGATATAAAGGCAAAGCTGCCCAATTCACAGCTATAAATTCAAAGAAACAGTTGCACCTTTTACTGATTTTTTGAGTTAGGTGGAATCTTTGCCTGGTGATGGGGGAAAGGACCACAGTGTTATTCGTGACTCTATTATTCTAATCAGTTATGAACCATCCTGACTTTTAATTGAAAGATGTGGAAAGCCAGTGTTCCTCATCCTGTAATTCGCTAGATGTGCTGGACTACAAATCCCATCACTCACCAGTCAACAACAACCATGCTTGCTGAGGGATGAGACCATGCTGAGAAAGATTGGGATATATATTTCCTAAAGAACATATTAAAAAAAAGAGAGGTAGAATGTGAAGATTTGCTGATAGGCTTTTTCTTACTTGTGTTATACGAGGGTGGGTACAACGGGCCCCACGCCGGCCAGGTGGCACCCAATTCTGTCGGGAAGCTGGACAGTGGGGGCGCAAAAGACAGCGACGTTCAGGTACACACCAACCACACTCATAACGTGGGTCTGATTTGAGGCACAGCCCACAGCTAGAGCGCTGGGCTGAACACTTGTACAAGAGAGCTAAGGAAAGCGGAAAGAAAAAGAAATAGAGATAAAATAATAAAGAATCCACAGGTTCCTTGGCCCCAGCTGCTATCTGATAGTCATCCTATAAAACTGCTGTACCCTTCCCACTAGAGAGGGTGCTGGAATAACTTGTAAGATAATGAAGACCCAGTGAACATTTCAGCACATTCAGGTTTCCTATCAACTTGTGCTTTGAATGCATCCAGGCTGGTATGTGCCACGGCAGGGTGAACTGTGCAGGAGAATGAAGTGGCCCATTTTGAGCAGCACTATAGGGAGTGGGGGGGGGGGAGGAGAGAGAGAGAGAGAGAGAAAGAGAGAGAGAGAGAGAGAG